TAAATCTTGGGACTGATTTAGGAATTATGCTATAGCAAATGCCTCAGAAACCAGCTCATACATTGGGAATGCCCAGTCTTAATACTCCATTATCTCATACTCCACCACTGTCAAGAGGAAGTTGAAAAACACACTCCAGAAGTACACTGTATCCCAGATACCATAAGAGGTGCACTACCTGCAGCATCAGAAGTACAAGTGCAGTCTGTATAGCTGATAACCTCCTTATTGCATGAATTCCTTGATCCGTAGAACACTGAGGCTATGGATCCGATCATTTCTGCTGATGTCCTGTATAAAAGGATAAAGGTTTTAATGGGCTCTTAGCAGAGCTTTTTGTGGGAATGATCCTAAATTTTGAAAGGACAGGAGAACAAGAACTGGAAAAGTTTCAGAGAAGAAATATATCAAACCGGAAAAGTGCTGGTGGTTTTGTTTGGGGCCCTTAATAATTAGCTGTTTCTATCTTTACAATTAATTCTTTGTCACTATTATTACAAATGCCTTCAGTTTCCTCTTTGTCCCTCAGCGGACTTCAACTTATTAATATGCAGCTTTAAGCAAGTATCCGAGCTGTCATGCATTTCAAGTCTCCCCAAGGAAGCTTTTTAAAATTGTAAGTAAGACCTGATACTGAGACTTATTAGCACCAAACTTGGAAACAAAGCTTCTGTGCAGGCAGTGATGACTCCTCAAGAAACAGCTGCTGTCACCTTTTTTATCCTGAGATTTATTATAAATGTGAATACCTCAAAGGATCTCTTTGATGCAACCAACCTTTCCAGCTCTCATAAACTGCTATTTATGGATAGAACTGGGCTTGTGCCAGCGTCTCAGATTTGAATGACGAAGCTGAACTTCTACGTCAGATTTAATTGCACCCACACTGAGATACATTCAGAAGAAATCCACTCAAAGCAGTAGAGTGATAGCACAGCAGAGCAAACGCGTATGTGATGAAGAAACTGGAAGTTTGCATACTAGCTAAAAGACAGATCATAACATTCCATATAGGAACAAAATCTAGGTCCAGATCAGAGTTCTACCCTCAATGCTTTAAGATAGGCTTGTGTTTGAACTTCTGTCTGATACTTATGCCTGGACTCAAGGCTTTGGCTCCCGTTCCCTTATAAATGTCTGAACAACCCCAGCTCTTCATCTCTGTGTCTGGAATTAAGAACACCCCTAACTGAAGAATAAATCTAAAAATACCTACAGATCAAAAAATCCTTCTTCACAATCCTACTGTAGTGTGCTCTGCATCCACCGTGACTTCTAACTATTTTATCCTAATAAATCACATCACAATAAACTTACATTTGGGATCACACAGTGTAAGTTAACTTACCAACGTTTATCTTAGGATGGGGAAATCTTACCCCCTGCCTAAACTAGAACTAGAAAAGCTGCAATCAATGAGGGATCCAATGCGAGACCAGTAGTCTGTAGCAGAAGAAATAAGCTTGGGCACAATCTTATGGCCTAGCTATTTCTTCTGAACTGCTAGTGTAACTCATATGCGGGATTACAGTTAAGCCAGCTTCCCATGAGTACCAGTTATAGTAACACAAGAAATGTGTAAACCTGAAATCAAGAAGTAGCTGTGGCTCTGCACGTCATCAGCGTTTTGATGATTCTGCTACGGAAATGTCTTTCTCTCCTTAGTGACCTATGCATACACAAGGAGCAGAAGGGATTATAAGTGGTAACCTTTTGAACTTCCCCACAAAAAAAAGCCTGAAGAAAGGGAGAAAGCCAAACTTCAATGCTGGTCAGAAAGGAAAGTGTTAACCCAGAGAAAGGGCTCTTAGCAGAGCTTCTTGCTGGAACGATCCTCCGCTTTGGCCAGCACAAAATATTTTAGCAGCAAAATATCTCCAACTGGAGAATTTGGAGCATTTCAACTTCCAAAAATTCCCACAGGATGTTCAATAGAGCCTTGCTTGAATGACACAAAGTGTCTGTAAACACTGACACCTGTGAGGAGGGAGAGATGATCCAACAACAGCAATAGAGCCAGCGCCCAAGCCCAGGCAGTGCAATCATGTGGCACGGCATGATGCGAGTGGTGGTCTCTCAGTGTCACCGTCTCAGTGGTTCCCCCAAACCGGAGGGATGAGAGAATGCAAATGAGCTAGTGACACTCTTCAGCGCAAACGATAATTTCACCACTTCCCGAGATCCTAATGTACCTACTGGAAGCGGTCTCTCTCCTCACCCAGTCATGACCCCAGTTTTCCATCCCATTGGTCACCGCCTGAGGCCTGAGGTAGTGGTGAAAAACCTCTTTGAGATCCTGCTTGTGCTGATGGGCAAGTATTTCCCTGGGGGAGCTCCACTGCCCCTCAGCAGCACAGCAAGAGATCCCCTGCCCCTGGGGCATGCGCCAGGCTGCCGATGCCTCAGCACAGCCCTAGATCATCCGGGCTGCTTGGCTCATCCTGGCTGGCTGCTGGCTGCTTGAGCCCTTGCATGGGTGGCAGCAAGCAGGAAAGGAAGGGAGGCACTGCCAGGCAGGCAGGAGCCGGGCTGGGGTGCCGACACCGCTCCAGCCCGGCTTTAGGGCAGGGGTGCCGGCGTGAGGTGAGAAAGGCCCAGCTCGCCCGCCTGGGGGGCTGGTGCCCCACGAGCGGTGGGGAGAGAGCGGCTGTGCGGCCGCGCCCGCGCAGCTCCCT